AAAAAATCTCATATCTGAATATTCAATTGTATGGGAACTATATGTTGTAGTGGTCCGATTTTGCCCGTTCCGACAAATGATTAATACATTATCAAAAAAGATTGCGTACAAACGGACGGACAGACGGAAAGCTAAATCGACTAATCTTGACGGTCATTTAAGTATACATTTTTGTGGGCCTGTATCTTCTTCTTCTGATACTTACAAACATCGGGCCAGAGGTATAATAGCATTTTTGGCCATGGAATGTATAAAAAAAACTGCTACTGACCAAAAATAAAGTAAATAAGCCGCGGTTTTTAAGAAAATCACCACATTTTTGCCCACCGTTAGCAAATTAGAATTACCTTCATAATGGCAACAAGTAATCGAACAAAACGTTGCATAATTGAACTTAATCGGATCATTCTAAGGGCCGGTTACTCAATGTCTGGTTAACACTCATCTCCGGTTAAACATAGTTATCGACGTGACCGACTCCCTGTTGTATGCATGGAGTCGAAGACGTCGATAACGATGTTTAACCGCAGATTAGTGTTAACCAGACATTGAGTATCCGGCCCTAAATATGGTAAATAAACTCTTGCCACTTGGCTACGACGGCCATCTATTACAACAATCGTGAATTGCTTATTTTCCCTTTTATTTACAAATATATAATGGAACACCCTGAGCTCAATAACAACACCATGTAATGTGTTACAAATAAATTCTATAATCCAAAATTCGTTTGATAGATTTTTCACTTGCATTTCATACAATTACAAAATGTTACCTTATCTTCTTCTAATAATGTAACAAAAACTTCATAACTTTACTTCACTTAATCTAACCATTTGCAATACGATGTAATACTAGTTACTTTGCCAACTTCCCATGGCTTGATTATGCATCATCTCAAACTACATAAATAGAATACTCGTATGAGGTGACACACGCACATCCGTATATAACTATGTACGAGTACTTATGAATATCCCTGAGTTATGCACTTTTTATTTGAGAAAATATTCCACACATATTCAAAAGTCCTAACTATCAAAACGGCATGCGCATTTCTAAGGACCTGAAGGTAAACTTATTATTTCGCTATAATATCTTTTATAACCTTTGCGCCTTATATCACATTTGTTTTTATAAATATGTTGCTCCTCTTATAACTATGTACTGCCCACATATACGCACATCTGCGCATCAAATCAACCATATTTTCGCTACTCACTACCCATCCGTATTCGAATTCCTTGCCACGAATGCATACTTTTCAATGTTGCCAGTATTTGTTATTTATTTTGAGCTCCACATGTTTGTTGTTCGCTTCTAATCTCTGCCATTTTTATGCAATGTCGCTTTGAAGTTGTATCACCAGTTTTTATTGTGATAGGCGCCGCGGGGTTGCATATTTTTTCTTCTGCTTATCATTCCATCCAACTGTGATTATGACCACAAAAATTTTGCAAGATGCTGTCAAATGAGTTGCGCCCTTTTCTTTTTCTCTGCAATTGATGGGTTGGTTGTGTGTGGTAAGTTGTCTACTACTCGTACTATGGACATATTGCAGCACATCTGTTCGTATTATTATTTGTATTTATGCTATTTTTTTTTTGTATTGCATTTGTAATAACAGTTGTTTGCACTTTTGAGTGGCAGATATGTACGAAAATGATGCAATGCAGCGACATGGAACAGATTGAGTATTTTAATGCATATGGCAGCTTCTATTGTGCTCGTACAATGATGAGTGTGACATTTGTGTTATTGTTATGCCTAAGGTTTTAGCCAAAATTGAAGGCATGCTGCTTATGTTAGATTTTATGCCAAAAATAGGCAAGTGAGTTGCTTGGAATAACTGGCGTTATATGACTATTTGATAGGTTCGATTGTGAAAGTTTCTTGAGGGACATAAAAGAATTCAATAGTTTGAAGAAATTGAATAGATATCGGTAAAATGAGCAGCGTTTTGAAATATTTAGATGCTTTTGGGAAGGGATGTTTCAAGAAGACTTCCCTTCCCTTTGAAAGCTGCATTAGAATATCTACTAAAATCGCTGTCATTCGAAGACTAAAAGGTGTGTTTCCAAAGTCAATGTTTCGGAAGCCAAATAGAGGAAAGTCGTAGTAGAGGCGTCGGTAGATGTCTGGAACAAGGAAAATGTGTACTATCCCGGCATTGTTTCTTCTAAGAGAAACTAAAACTCAAGGCCTGAAACTCTGGTTGAGTTAATTTAAATTGAGGCAACACTAAGTGCATTATCAGACATTTCAGAGACCTTTGACCACATCTCGCACCAGGTCGGTGATCGATCTCCAAGGAAAATGAATGCAGGCGTTCCAATCCGCAGAGGGAACAAGATCCAGACTATCGAAATGGCAGTAGGAAACAAATCATACAGCTAAAGGTCGCGAATGATTGCCCCGAGGGAATGTACCTATGTAGTGATCTTCCGATACCAGTACTTAAAAGTAGGTACATATATACTCGAGTACCTCTACGAAGTACTAAGTATTTGCTCTACCGCATGTACAAGTATTTGCTAAAGAAACGCATAAAAGTAGTGAACAAAATTAGTAGCGAATTAGAGGAGGATGTAGAGCCAGCCTATGATTTGAGGAAGCATGATCTAGAACTCGTTGAACTTGAAACAGAAAAATCAAAAACAAATAAGAAGAATAAGACTCAAATTTTGAATCTCACCTCTGTAGGACAATTGTAAGAGGTGCCGCCTCGAGCCTATTGGTATTGGTCAAGGGATTAAAAAAGGATAATTTACAATTTAAATAATCTGAGCCTGCACAATACTTAAATGGCATGTTATTAATGTATTCTTACAGTTCGAGCGTTTTCATTTATCCTAGAAAATTATATTGACCTCAAAAGGAATGAACTCATTTTCTTACGTGTAATTTCTATGGGAAAACTAAAGACTCGAGGCGGCACCACTTACAATTGTCCTAGAGAGCATAGAGCATAACTATACCAATGGCGCCCAATTCCGATAAGCTGTACACCAATTTCTGCAAACTAAGCTGGCTGAGAGAATTA